ATAAACGCGCAAGTCGTGCATCGGCTGACTCTGGCAAATCATTGTATGGGCGTTGTTGTATCCAATAACCCACTACGATTCTGAATCAAAGTATTAGGTTGGCGGGAAAGTTCTGCGACATTTTCTTAAACTAGACTTTCTTTTTACAGACAGGCGTGTAAGATCAAAATTGTACAGCAATGTTACTGCGGGGTCCTTGCCTGTTTTTGAGCATCTCATGGATGCCATCGCTTTATAATGCAAGGAGGCGCGATACAAAGTTGGATATCACTCTCAAATTTTTGGCTTGAACCTACACTTTCGAGGTTGTTTTTTTTCGTAATATTCTCGTCCAGTGATGGTTGATTCGGGAGGCAACTCGCAATTAGAAGGAGCAATTTCTGTGCTACAGCATTGCAAGGGGAAACCATCCAGCTCTGTCGCATGAAGAACGGCTAGAACTTTTTTGGAAGTGCGCTGCACATCACAAGCTTGGAGGGGTCGGTGGCGATGGTAGCGGATAACATTCTTGTCCATATTGCAGAAGAAGAAGAAGCAGGAATCAAGCGAGTGGTACTAACCAAAAGACCACTCTTGATGTATAAGTGCTCACATTGCCGTTCAAGTAATGGACAAGCATTTTGAGTTCGAAAAAGTGACAGAACTTCCCGCCAACCTAATAGAATGAGCGCGACATAACAAAAAAGTATCGATCAACCACGTTATAGTCTTTCATGTTGCAATAGATGAAGTTTACAGACTTCATGTAGTAAACTTGTCTTTTATTAGAGCCCTTCGCTCGCTGAATTTTTCGCTTTTTTAGGCAATATAAACAACTGGAGTATGTTCCTGACACAATACTCCTGATATTCGTTGTCTCTTTTCGAAAGTCCCAAACGAGGAAATGCTAGGTAAGACTAGTGGAAAAAACGCATACGAAATGCTCTGAATAGATTCCATGCCAGCCACAACTTGTATGTGCACACAGTGAAGAGATGGCATGTTTGTACCAATTTCCACTCGCTGTTGTCATAACGATATCAACTCTTTTCCCTTTTTCACCTTATCACGCACTCTCACCATTCGGAAAGAGAGCTGGCAGAAAATAGGTGGTAGCCAACAGCCACTGAGGGTTAACAGGGTCTATGAGGTCCACATGGGCCTAGTTGCTCAGCTTCCGCCTGTATTCTTGCAAATTTTCACTTCTAGAATTTAGCAAAAACTCCACAGTTGACTTCCGGATCAACTGGCAGAATGTCGCTACACAATGAGGTGCGAGGATTAACTGATGTAACAGTCAGTACAGGTGCTTATCTTCTCCAACTCTGGTACCACTATAAGGTCTCAGGGTAAAAGACTTGCTCGGCCTGGGCGGGGGTCGATCCGCGATTTGACCACAGTATCGGGCGCGTAGTAAGCGTGCTACTATCCACTGCATCACCTCCTCTCATGTTATTAATGATACTCACCAATATCTTCCGGTTGATCTATATCATCACTGTCATCACTTAGTTCAATGTCGTCGTGGTCCTTCTTCACAACTACAGAATTATCGTAGCTATACCCGATTGTTGCCTTGGATTCGGAAGATTTCCTGAACAAAACACCATACATTACCATTACAACCATACACGAGAGATC